CCTGGAAAACAACTCTGTTGCTGGTTTTGGTTTTTTGTGAGTGAAGCCAATGGCACTATTCCAGTGCGGTTGCACAGGTGCACTCTCACTGCTAAGCCACCAGATGTCAATAAAATGCGGTGTCATTTTAGAAGATTTTCAAAATAGCTGTGTCACAGTTTCAAAAACTCTTCAGATGGATTCAACATTGCAACTGAGAATTTGTGAAAGCTGTAACCTAACTAATGGATTTAAACCTTGGTGACTAGAGTCACGGTCACCTCTATAATGAAATTAGATTTTAAAAAATATTTTAATATACTGTAGACAGGAGGAAAAAAATCAGCATATTTCTTATCCACTTCTTGGCACTTAACCTTACTTAAAACTGTGAAGTTCTGATATGAAAATGGCTTCTCTCATTCTTTTTTGTGGGTTCTGAACATCCTTCATTCTAGATTATTTTAGTTTCCTTAGTGTGTTCTGCATGTAACAGGACTTTGCAAATCACTTTGTTGTCTCTTTGGAAGAAGCAGAAGTATGTTATTGTGCATTCTTGAATATTAGGTGTAACTTTGTGTTGCCATGTATCTGTCTGTCTTGATACATCTGTATAGAAATCAGAGATACTCTGTATGGCTTTAAGTATTGTATATTAAATGATACACGATCTTCAGGAATCTGGGATTAAAGATTATGAGTAGTTAGATGTTTAAGTCACTTTTGCCAGAAAATGTATACAATAAACACATCTCCATCCAGAATTACATCCTAATTTTGCAAAATTCTAGAATTCTGTTGCCCTCTGCTGGTACAGTGTACCTGTCTGTGATTTGGTAGCGCTGAATTATAAGTGAATTGGCCCTTCTTTTATTTTTCATGGTGAAATAATAGTAGATAATCAGTATGATGAACCACGTTGCTACTTACACTTTAAAGTGTTCTAACATATAAATCAGTCTTGAGACCAATCTTGTTTGATAGCTTTCTGACAGTAGGAGAGATAGCAAATTGTTTTCTTTTTTGTTGCTGAGGTTTTCGGGTTGGAGAAGCTTCTTGATTTAGTATTTTCTCTTTTTTTTTTCTAAAGCAGTAAAAATCTGAAAAATAATAAGGGAAGCTTCACAGTTCTTTATGCTTATATGACCTTTCTCCACATTTGTGGGTACAATACATGGGGGTATAATTGTATATTTTAGACCAAACGGGAAAACCATTTATTGAATTGAATGTTTTGACTGATGTTATCCCATGTCAGTCAGACTTAAAAACATATTGTATGTTTGAGTATGTGCGTGCTGTGATAAATACTGGTATATATGCATGGTGTGATGCAGTGTTGTTTACAAGTAAGCCTCAGTCCTACAGGTCAGTCTATGTAGGTTGATCCTGCGGGACTTCTTTGAAGTCTTTTTGAACTTGCCAGATATTTGTGTGGGCACAACGTAGATCTGAATGCAAGACTGGTTCACAGAATACGTTCGTGTACAGAACTTGGTTTACATCACCTTAGAGAGGGGCAGGATGTTGCCTACAGTAAGTGGTACCTATTAACAATACCCAATAGATGGTAGTTGAGTGAATATCTGTATAAACTGCTCCTAGATGGGGAGTAACCATTTAAAGTAGCAGTGTCGCTATGTCCTGGATGATCTATAAGCTTATACTTGCAGACTTCCAAGGAGAACCTTAACCAATACAGGAGAGGAAGTGCTGTGATCTCCTTTCTCCTCACAGAGGCCAAGCAGATAACCGGTAGGACAGTGATTCCTCAAGGAGCTGAGGAGGAAGCTATTCTTTGCATTAGGCAGCAACTTCCTTCTCACCTCTTTTCCTTCCTCTCCTCACCAAAAATATCCAAACCAATAACCTAGGATATAAGTTGGAGACAGAAATCCAGTTTACTTCAGAAGTAAACTGGATTTCTCTAAAAAATAGAGTACTTTTCAGTTTGCCCCTTTGTTTCCATAGCCAAGAGGCATGCAGCTAAATCCTGTGAGAAAAGAGCAGTCTCAGGTGTATCTATTTTCTGGTTTTCATTTCTGTTTCATACATAGTTTGGGAGGGGAATGTTTGGGGGTTTTTAAGTGCCACTAGTCTACTGAAAGAACTCGGTGTCCTTTGCAGAAGTTAACTCTTTTCCTGTTACAATTTACACCTCAGCGCTCATTTAAGCTATCATATTGAATTATGTATGCTGTGGAATAAGGTTTTTATCAGTTCAGAACTATTTTTATTATTTTCTTCTGAGGTCTTTTGTAAGCTGTCAGCCCTTAACTCCTCCCTTATAAGTAGGAAATTCTTTTGCTGCCTCCTACATTAATTCTGTCTGGCAGAAATGTATTATTGAGGCAGGGAGAAAGAGCATAAATATCAGTATAGTTTAGCTGTCCTATGGAAAAATAGGTGAAGATTTGTTTTATATACGTAGTATTGCTTGATGAAAAACACTGAATTACTGTTTTACTTAAATTGGAGAAATCTTGAGCAAATTCTTTTGAATACAACAGTAAACATTGGAGCTCTCTTGATGTATCAGATTAGTTTAATTTCTAGTCAAACGGGCTGACTAAGCACTCCCAGGGTAGAGAATAGAGACACTTTGAGCTTCGTGGAATGCTTGTGTTTGTACCAAGAGTATTTTTAGTCCATGGATTTTGACTGCATAGGAGCAGCAGTGTGCTTCTTAAGGTTGGTGCTCATACTGTTTTACAAACAAGCCAGCCAAAACAAGCCGAGAGTCCAGAGTGATTTTGCCCAGAATAACTGGCAGAGCTGAGCCTGGAACTACAAGTCCTGACTTTGATTCTGTGCTCTGGCCGCTATCAGGTTTTGCCATTTGTTTCAACACATGCAGGTGATGAGAAGGATGATGTTTATGATTGCTTAGCTTTTTGATGGATTCGCTTTCATCCTTTTGCAAACAAACTGGTTTTGCTTTGCCTACCAGTCACTGTCAGTGCTGATTTATGTCATTACATTTCAGCATAAATCTCCATCGTTTAACAATTGTTTTTTGTACATGGCTTTTCATGGTTTTAAATTATCAGGACAGGAAGAGCATCTAAAAGCCCCTCAGCTTTCCTGTCATGTTTATCTCCGTGTGAAAATCATTTGTTTCATTTTTATTTCTGGAACACTATTACTATGGACCCAGGGTTATGAGTTTAAACTTTCTTTTGGGTTTGTGCCAGAAATCACCCTCTCTTTACACAGTTCACACAATTACTTGGCTTGGGCTGAGGCATCAAAGGCAGCTGGACAGGCTGATAGTGAAATCACCCCTTTGTGTGGCATTCACTACACAAATTGGCATGAGTTGACTATGCAAACTAGCTAGGCCTTAACAGTCTTCTCCCTTTTCCCAGCATACTCTCTTTTTGCAGCTGTATTATGACTTGGAATTACTGCCAATGGAAAAAAAAATATAAATCAAAGTAAAAGTCACGATCTGGCTTTAGTAGTAACTATTGCTTTCAAGATGTGTTGTTCATGTTTATATTCCATGATTACCTGTAATCCCCATTCTTCTGTGACACAAGTTTTGTGTATTTGGATTTTGAGTTAGGTGAATGACTGGGTCAGATCCATTCTGTGGGCCTTGTGTTAATTACCACAGCTAAACAAATTAAGCCATTTTAGGCTAGCTGTATACTCACCTGCCAACGGTGCAAGATACAAAAATCTGTCCAGCTCTTAAAGAATAAAAATTACTGCAAAGGAAATAGCTTTGCAGGAGGATAGAGGTAGTCGTCCTATATATTTTTTGTTTTAACATTTTCTGATATTTTCTTTACAACTAAAAGACTCAGTTTCACGTACAGTTAGTTGTCCTGCTAATCAACAGGTTTGACATAGTCATCTATTAGTGTGTATTTTGTGTGCCTGAGACTTTTTCAAGGGATGCCCAGTAGGCGATACAAAGATTGGTAGGACACTATTTGAGCTGTCCTGTTCTGTGATTTAACAGCTAGGTCATGCATGGGAGCCACTCCTGTGCAATCACTTGTCATTTCCTGTGAGCTTCCATAAACTGCATCACAACTGAAAAGTGAGAATCTGTTAAACAAACCAGCTGTCTTCTGTTTCAATCTGTATTGAATGAAGTCACATTCAATGTAGTTTGAATCTTCCACACATTTAGATTTCTTAACAAATTACGAAGAAATTTTGATTTAATTCTGCATGAATAAATAAAAACTGTATTTCTCACTTCTTGATGGTTAATCACAAGAAGATATTTCAGCTGGGTAAATTTTAGTAGAATGTCCCAAATCATTTCCTCAAACATACCATTTCAAAGGACCTTGTCTTTGATAGGGAATGAACACATGGCACACGGTCAGAACTTTTAGTTCATGATGTACTTGGAAAAGCATAGTGTGGAAAACAGTTTGAAGAATAGCAAAACCAGAAATCTGTAGACCAGACTTTAAAATTTTCGGTTGTAATTTCCTAGCCTTCCACTTGAATGACTGTGTGCCTACTGAGGAATTATTGTATGTACTGGCTTTTGTGTACAATTGTACAATTATAAATACTAACTCGAGTAGTATTTATGCTCTACTTCTGACTTTTAAATAAAGTAAGTAATAATTTTAATCTGTTTAAATACTGATTTCTATGTTGTGGTACTAGGTTATTAAAAATAATGTATTTTGTTTGCAAGGAAAATGTTTTATTTTAGAAATATTTATATATTTCTATATATTATATTTATATTCTGTACTATCATCACAGAATTTTTCCTCTGGAGTCTTTTCTACTGTGAATCCAGAAAGCCATGCCTTGCCATGGAGTTAGACTTGTATACAAGCTTCCTGTATGTTAATTTCTTTAATGGCACAAAACTGGAGATCATTTATTTTTCCTATATTGCAGTACAAAAGATGGTGTATATTGCATATTTCAGTCTGTACAACTGATTTTATAGATATGTATTTCAACACACAAGCCATAGCATTTAGAGGAAATGAAATAATAGGACTAATTAGTCAATTTTGCGCATTTTTTGCTCTCAGAAATTAGCACCTGGAGTTAGTCAGTTTGCTTACACCTGTGTGCAAGACCATCCTATCTGGACTAATCAACAGTTTTGGGAAACAACTTTTTATAGCAACGTGCAAAATCAAGTTCGTTCCCTCTACCTTACAGCCAAAGATGACAACCATGCAGTACAGTTGAGACAAAAGGTAGGAGAATGTATTAAAGTAAATATCAAGGTAGTATTTGTATTCACAGTTTAATTGTCTCCTATGTTACAGAGAATTAAGTTACGGTTTCTTCAATTTTACATATTTTTCTGTCATTTTTCCCATATTAAACAGCATACAATAACATGAAAAGTAACAAAAAATTTACATTTATCTGCAAAGCATTATAATTGGATGTTGCTCGTGTGATTTTTCAAACGACCACTTTCTGTATAATTTTCCACACTGTAATATGTTTTTCCTGAGAGTAGTAATGTATCACATATCAGTGTTATGAACTAGTGCAAGTTCTGTCGTATGCACAACCTAAGCTAACAGCAGTTCTGGGAGCCAGTGTTAGATTATTACCAAACCCTAGGATGGTTTCTGTTGAATGGCACTCGGTCTGCTCTATTAAAATGGAACAGATCTTCCAGAACACAAATTGTCTGTCTCAGTAGGAGGAAAGTACATCTCTGAAGCAAAAATGAAAGTGTAACGGGAAGCCTTGCAGCATGCTAAAATAGGATTATTTTTTTAAGAGAGAGCCTATGTGGCACGAAGTAAAGAGCCATTTGTAATTTCTCTTCTTGTATGAAAATACCATTATCAACTGAGATAAGAGACTGTGAAGTGTATGCTACCCAAAGTCATACCACATTGTAAAGAGAGGTAGTAAAACGGACAGATAGATCCCCAGAAATGTAGTCAGAATATAGAACTGAAAAGACAATGTCAGACATATCAAGGATAAAGGACAGTTGGACTGTGTATGGGAAGCCCTTTCCAGTCTGACACTATGTAAAGAAAAATGTGAAGAATAGTGGCACTTAAAATGAAGCATCTACTTTCACATGTGTTTATATGGAAAATTAGCTCAACTTTAACTTAGTATGGGAAAAATATTTGCAAGATACCTAGTATTTTAATAATTTAACGTCACTAATACTGGCCACCAGATTGCTTTATTTTAATTTCCTCAGGCCATAATATAATTTGAGTGTGTGCCATCTACCTAGTTTGCTTCAGGCAAATGCTAGAATTGGACTCCAACATGTGAAAATATGAATGTTTCAGATGCTCAGGAATATATTTGTATAAAAGCTTGTCTCGCCTGAAGGTCCTAGGAATTCGGGGACGCTCACCTGCATCAAGCAATGAGCTACATAATAATTCCCAATCTGATTTATGCTTGTCCTTATGTGAGCTAAGTGGATAAGCTAAGGAGAGCAGCTGTATTAAAATCGGTAAACCACTCTGGAGAAACATGGAAGATCATATAGCACTAAAAAGATCTAGAAACAAGTGATGTTATTTAGATCTGTCCACATTGTGCTACTTGCATATATACTTGCATATATACTTGCATTGTGCTACTTGTGTATATATAGTAAACAGCCTTCAAAACCCAGTTATTGTAGCCATTCTCTCTTTAAACCCTATTGAGTGTAGCTATTTGCTTTTTCTTTGTAAATTAATATATAAATCAAATAATTGAAGAAGTTTAATAAACAATGTTTTGACTAAACATTGCTTTTTAAGTTATAACATTATTATTTCTCCTATGTGTTTATATTTCTTTCTATATGTCTTCTAGGAGAAAAATTCTGTAGTTCCAGACCAGGATAAGACAGCAATGGACCTGGCTGCTGAGCAGTTGCGATTATGGCCAACTCTTAATAAACAAACTCAGCAGGAGTTAGTCCAGAATGAGGAAAGTACGGTTTTCAGTCAGGCAATTCATTTTGCTAACCTCATGGTCTACCTGCTAGTACCACTGGACACAAGTAAGAACAAGTTATTGAGAACATCAGCTGCTGGTGACTGGGAGAGTGGAAGCAACAGTATTGTCACAAACAGGTGTGTACACAAACTCAGTGGTAGTCAGTCAGGGTGAGCCACAGTTTTAAAAGCTTCTTAGTTTTCAGGACTTATTCTATATACCAGATTATTTCCGTATCCTCAGTTCTTTTTAAGTTCATTAATTAAAGAGAGCAGAAGTCTAACTGTTCTTTCATCTGTCCATCTTTTTAGCTTTTGAATGCTTTGATCTGCAACCAAACTATTTTTTTAATGCATCTTTCCGTATGTAACTGGATATTTGTTTACTGTGGGTTGCAAGTAATGTACTTGACTCTGTGAGGAGAAGACATAGAACTCACTTCCAAGCAATGATTTTCTCTTCTGGGCCTGTTTGCACTGGACTCATGGAGGGAAAGTTCTCCATGCAGTTCTGACAGTGTTAATGGTGCTGAAAATACAGTGTAATTGTACCACCATGTGCTTTTAGTACGGTTTATGTATTGTAACTAGAAAAAACCCCACAGCTTGTCTGTCTCTAGCCTCGTATTATATGTGCATCACCAGATGAATTTTTTACTCTTGAAATTTCTTTTATTTATGCCCACAGTATTGCAGGCAGCGTTGCAGAGAGTTATGACACTGAAAGTGGATTTGAGGACTCTGAGAACAATGATGTTGCAAACGCCGTTGTACGCTTCATCACCAGATTTATTGACAAAGTTTGCACAGAGAGTGGAGTTACACAGGATCACATCAAGGGTCTTCACTGTATGATACCAGGTAAGAACTGTGACAAAAAGAGTGGTTTGTAGTCTTTTTTTTTTCTAGTGAGACAAATGCACTTTTTAGTTTCAGTTACTTTCAGTGAAATTAGAAGGTTAGATTTCTTTTCTAGACTGTAGTTGCTGTTGAATTTCAAATAATTATTCCCTTGATGTTTAAATCTGAGAATTTCGGGATATTAGAGATCTAATTAGATTGCAGTGTTCTCTTTCATATTATGTGAGACTTCATTTGTGGTATTACTGCTTTCCAGGCATTGTAGCAATGCACATAGAGACCTTGGAGGCTGTCCATCGTGAGAGTAGGCGGCTTCCACCGATACAGAAGGCAAGTATTATGAAACATATTTGTATTCTTTACAAGTATTAGAACCATGCAATTTAGTCATCTTTTTCCCCCCACTCATAATTTTGGGAGGAAAAGTCAAAACATTAAAAGAAAATTTCCACCAGTGATAAATAAAGTGCTTGGCTTTGTTCTCATGAAATATGAACTTAGGACACCAGTAGAGCCAAACTTCTGATCGTAAACAAGCTGTTGCATGCCCACTGTTTTTTGAGACCCATTTCTCTTAGCTGAGTCCAAACTCTGTCTCCCTTCTTTGAACTCAGTCTCATAACAATTTTGTTTTGAAGCATTTTAAGCCAAATGTTTTAACTAGACAGAGGTATAACACTGATATCGTCATTGTACTTAACACTTTCATTTATTTGCATCAGCCCAAAATTCTCCGACCAGCTTTACTGCCAGGAGAAGAATTTGTTTGTGAAGGTCTCCGTGTGCTGCTAGATCCTGATGGCAGAGAGGAAGCTACAGGAGGACTGCTTGGAGGTCCTCACATCCTCCCTGCTGAAGGAGCTTTGTTCCTTACCACTTACAGAATTATATTTAAAGGCACTCCTCACGATCAACTGGGTAAGAAAAATTAAAGTGATAATTACAGCCCTTTGAAGGGGCAGGACTATGAGCTGGCCTATCCACCTATTCAAGCATCAACATCAAAATGCATATGCCTTATTTTGTGTAATTTTTCATGTTGGTCAGATAAGAATAATCTTTTAATATATGTTTTTATCATTAGATATGGCAATGATTGGTTTCGATGTTGCATTTAACTAGAACTTACTTCTTCAGAGGAGGCATTAGGTGCCAAATGTTTGTTCATTCCTGCACATTGGTAGATATTTAGAGTTATGTCTTCAGTAAGTTATGTAATATAAAATACGTACTTGTCTTAGAGGAAATTTGACTAGGCTGTGACATGGTATTATGGCTTTTATGGACTACCTAAAGTTGGAGACAGAAAATAAGAACATACTTCTGTAATTTCCATAGACTTTCTGTTCTGAATGGACAAAATGCTTAGTATCTTTATCTCTGTTTCACCTGTAAAGTTGGTTTAATAATGCTGCTTTTTACGTATCAATGTTTGTAGGCTTCTTCACCACTAAGAGAGAACATATACACTGTGTGAGATCTGCAGTTTCCACTACCCCTTGGTTTTCATTAAACAGGGTTTTTTTCAGCCACTAGAAGTGTATTAAATGAAAAATATTAATTCATTAGTATTCTCTCTCAAATTATTGTTAATAAATTCAGTCTTCTTTTTCATACATAATGGAAATAGCTCATCTGAATGATAAGTTTTCCTATTTTGGCATCTGCCATTTCTAAACAGATTGTAATTCAGAAGTATAAATTTATTGTGGAAAGTTCACAGTCATATTTAAAGATATCAGTATGTATCATTCATTGTTTTTAAGTTGTATAATGCAATGTGAAATTTGAAAAAAACTTGAAGCTGTTTCTTGACCAGCTGTTTCTTCTGAGAAAGGCTCAGAAGGAAGGAGAATATTTTTCTAATCATCCCAGCTGAAATAAAGCAGAAAATCAGATTACAAATAATACACTAGGAATTTACCAACTATTCAGGTACTTCGCGTGAAATTAATTCTGCACCATTATTTTCATGTTGCTTTGTACTCAAAGTACAATGTGACAAAACAAGATCTCATTCTGTGATGTAACACATATCTGTAAATACAATTTTATGGTCCTCAGTTGGAGAGCAGACAGTGATCCGGAGCTTTCCTATTGCGTCTGTTACGAAGGAGAAGAAGATCACTATACAGAACCAGCTGCAGCAGAGTATGCAGGAAGGACTGCAGATCACTTCAGCTACCTTTCAGGTAAAAGGAAGCTTTGTAAAAAATTGTGTGACAACACAGCTCAGAATACTTATGATTTTATATCGTGGGCAGAAAGTAGTACTTAAGATATGAAATATTTGGTTGGATTGGCTGACTACAGAAGCATATTTTCATTGAGAACAATAACATTTGAAAACATAATAAAGTAGTTCCATCAGTTTTTTACTAGTTCCTTACAATAATGGCCATTATTTAGCTAGTCAGCCTTCAATACCCTATTCAAATGCATAAGATTAGGAATACAAGTGAGTAAAACGAGTAAAAGGAAGTTGTGCTTGTGGTCTTCATGAGGACTTCATGAGGACTTTTATTTTCCAGCAATCTTTTCACCAGAATAGTTAGCATGCTTCAACAATATCCTAAATACAGACACAGCTCAATGTTTTTAGTGCTGGATTCTGGTCAAACATCATCTTTGCTTTTGTTTAGCATAGTTTTGTATTAGGTTATGGGAACAAAAACAATCAGCAAACAGTTTACTTTCTGTTCCCTTTGTAACAGGTAGAGTTCAATACAGTATGAAAGAGCCTGTCCTCTTTGTTTATTAATAAAGACTTTCAGAATGTTTTGGCTGCAGTTATGCTATTTAGTGTCTTTAAAACTTCAAATCAGTGTAAGCCCTAAAGATTCAAGATCTCCTTTCAAGGAGGTCCTAGAACAACAGGGTTATTAGTCATTTGGAAAGTATTTACAAAACAAGTGAAATTGGAAAAAGCAATTATGAAATCTACCTTCTAGATGGCAAATGAAAGAAAGACATTCAAAAGGTGTATAGATATGCACTCAGAAACAAACCTCTAGAATATTGCTTTGTTTGCTTTTTTCCACATTCTTGAAGTTCTTTTGGGCCCTTTTATGAATTCCCTGTTTTCTCTCTATTCTTTTCTTTTTTCCTTCCCCCACTTTCCCCCCTCCTTCTGAATTGCTGTCATCCTTTTGGCTGAGGATGATGGGATGGGATTTTTACTGGGGTAGATGGATCACTGTTGAATAGCACAAGGTTAGTTCTTTTTTAAGGATCAGATTTCACTATTACATGTTTTTTACTAGCAGTTTGCTATACTTTGCAAGGTGAGGCAAAAACTGGAATGACTAAATAATGGAAGTATAATGGCTGTGACATGTGAATGCTGAAACTGTTGGCTTGATGAGTCTTTGAAGTGCATTACCAACCTTAGTTCCCAGTATATGGGCAGAGCTGGCAGAGTATTTCCAAGCTAAGCTGTCCCATGTGTCTAGTATTTGAACTGTTGTAGACATCTTAGTGCCAGCACTACTACTTGGATTTACCAAAATATGTTGTGTTAGATATTATGAGAATTCCAGATGCTTCTCAGTGAAAATACCTTTATATTGGTACAAAAATGTAAAAATTAAATAAAAAACTAATAAGCTGTGTGATATCCCTCAAAATCAATAAGATACATGTACATGTATTTGTATTTTCTGATGGGCATAGTACTTGGAACTATGGGAATTTTGCTCATATATTTTAGGATCTTTTAATTTACTTAATTATATTAAAAAAATTTTCTGTTTCTAAAATGTCATGTCTTTAATATACAGTTAATTAAAGTAGCATTTGATGAAGAAGTAAGTCCGGAAGTGGTGGAAATATTTAAGAAACAGTTAATGAAGTTCCGTTATCCTCAATCTATCTTCAGCACTTTTGCATTTGCAGCTGGGCAAACGGCACCACAGATAATTTTACCAAAACAAAAAGAAAAGAACACTTCATTCCGGTATAGTCATTTTTCTTCTTTTATTACTGATGTTCTTCTTCAGTATTAGTTAAATGGATTGAACAGTCTGACAGCTTTGCAGAAATGCATATCATTCAGGCAGTTTTCAGGAAGGTCAAAATAGCTGATTTCTATTGTGCATAATTTTATATTTGCTGAACAAAAGGTAGATTAGTATGATATACATTTTGAGTATAGGAATATATTATTTATTCAAATTTCTGGCTGCAGTAAGCTTGAGCAAAGCATCTCACTACATTTTGAAACACACACAATGTAAGTAGCATTTTCAGCTATGCAAACTATGCCAACATAAAAACCAGATATTTTTGGTGTATTGCTTTATAGGTTAATAACCTGATGTGCGTTAGAATTAATTTTACCCTTAGTACAGTCTGTACAATTGTCCTACTGGTCTTTAGTCTAGAGTTTGAGCTTTGAGTCCTCTTTTGGAGCTTATGTTGTACATTAATTTTTACTACACTAGATGGGTCATTAGTCTGTTCCAGAGTGGTAGTGCCTGTGATTCTCTGTTAATTATTGCGTTGTTGACACAGGAAAGTAGAATCCCAAGCTAGTTATGGAACTCTAAAAATTTAAGGTAATTTCCATCGTTCCTGCCTTTACTTTGTCAACTTTGTAGACTTACCACATCACTAGCAAAATACAAATAGCTAAAGAAAGATGATGGCTGCTTATTCATTACCATTAGACAGACACAAATTTATCTCAGAATAATAAAACTGGTGTTTAAAAATTAACATAGGAAGTAATGTTTCTGGAGGTTATAATTTTTGTCATTGTATTGAATAAAAATGATGAAATACATTTCATTTGGATAAGTGGGCTCATAATAAAAATGTGTGCATGCTATCGAGAATCATATGCATTTTTCTAATTTTTTTTGTTGCTATGAATTTGCAGTACTTTCTCGAAAAGCCTTGTGAAAGGAGCAAAACGTGCTGGGAAGATGACAATTGGACGCCAATATTTATTAAAGAAGAAGACAGGCACAATAGTGGAAGAAAGAGGGAATCGCCCAGGCTGGAATGAAGATGATGATATCTCTGGTAATAATAAATATTTTTTTTTTCATGTTGGCTGATAAGTCTATCTTATTATGCTTCTATTCCAGTATATTGAATCAGTCATATCTTCAAGAAGAAATTGCAGAGTCTTCCTAGACAGGAAAGAGAAAGGTTTCAGATATGTACATTTAGTAAGTGTTTTCTTTTGTGACGACAAGGCAAAAGAGGAAGTTGACTTTTTTCTGTGATAAAGCAAAATACTAGATTATTATTTTGGAATGATCAAGCTATTTTCATATAGTATCTTCTTATCTTTTTTACGTCACAGTAACGTAGATGGAACGGCATAGAAGCATGCTGTAGCTTCCATTTATCTTTAGACATCACAACATCTGCAATTAGTCTATGATGAGAAAACAGTAATTGGTGAGATCCCTCAAATACTGTAGGAGACTTTTGCAGATGTGGATGTGACAAATGATTTCTGAAAGCAGCATAAGTCATTGCTAAAATAGCATTTTCCTTCATTTTGGTTGAAAGGATCTGGGGACAGAAGGTAGAAAGTGATTTAGGCACTTTGTATGGTTTGTGTGATGGTGTGGAGTTTGACTTTCTTCCAAATACTTCTTTTCCTACCATGTGCTGCTGTCAGTATATCCTTATCTGGACCAGTGCTAATTTATAATAAACCACTAGAGGGAACCAGATTCTCCTGTACATAAACAGGTATTGTTTTGTCATACCGTTCTTTCTTTTTTTTTTTTAGAAAAATAAGCATTTCAGATAATGAAGTGTTTATCAAACACTAATATTTTTTTCTAAACATCAAACAAGTTGAATTTTCTTTTTGAATATTTGGTCAGTGAGCAAGGCAGCATATGTGACTTATGAGCAGGTACATAAAATTTGTGTGAAGCAGGACTGTGTTACTGCACTGTCTCTGTTCTCTCTGAAATGGAAGAAAACCATTCTCGGAAAGCTAAAAATATTGATTCTGTTCTTTCTTTCCAGATAAAAGTGGTGGGAAAAAGGCAAAAAGAAAGGATTACAAAATACAGAATGTCTTTACAGTGCTTAAGAATTACGTTCTTAATTGAATTTCCAGCGTCTTCCTTAAGTGCTGAGTTAGTATACGTTCTGACTTTGCAGATTCTTTGGGTCAGAAGCAATTCTGCAGGCTGTACTTGTGTGATTTTGGGTTGATTTTGTGTCCTTCACCCAGAGACACCAAGAACAATCATACCTGTTTATTGGTGCTTCTCTTGATGTTGAAGAAGTTTTAAGAGGTTTTGCATTGCTGATGTACAAAACAACTACATTCTTCCGTGAACACGAGTGTTACAGAAATGTTAGTGATAGTCACTTTTTTCCTAACAAAAATATAAAAGTATCAATTGTGAGGCTTCGTACATGCTGCTTTCCAGATCTTGTGACTGGGAATATACAAGATGGTCAAAGTCTGACAGTTTGCTTTTCTCTCCACGCTGCACTGACACCTCAGATACAGTCGGCTGACAACAGTTGTAACTCTGCTTCAGAGTACCAATAGCCATAGGAAATTTGCTATTTAATCACTGCAATTTCTTTTATGTTGACTGCTGTGAATTACTTCATTTGCAAGTCTCAAAAACTGATGTATAGGAAACTATACAGCTACACCAACGATGAAGGAAATGGGAACTATCTGCAGCAGATGATGCATTGTCTTAAAAAAGAAATATAGGGTTGGAAGGAATTTCCATCTCTCTACCCCAAGGCATAATCAACATACTTAACCTGTTCCTCATAAATATTTACCAAAATTTTTCTTAGAAGTTTTCGAAGATGAAGGTTCCACAACTCTAGGCAATGTATACTAATGCTTGAACCATCCTTAATGCTGGAGAAAAACAAGCAACCTTCTGACATTCAGGCCTAAATATTTTTTCCCACAATTTAAAGCCTTCAGTTCTTATTCTGCCACCATATACATGCAGAAGAGATGATTCCCTTCATTTTGATCATAGTGCTTAATGTATTGATGAACTGTTGTAATATTTATCTGTTCTTTTCTGGGTATTAAGTATCTGCAGTTCTTCCAGTTCATTCTTTATTAGTCTTGATGAACTGCTCATCATCTCCCTTGCTCTTTTCTCAGTCCTCTTTAGCTTGGCCGCATATAACTTGCAATGTGATTTCTAAAACGGGACACAGTACTCCAGTTATTAGTTGTTGCTAATGAACACCTAATTGCCCTCCAATTCCTCCTCATCTTTTTATTTTCAGAATTTAGAATCTCATCACTATTAAATTCTGTTTTGTATAGGTGGTCATATTGGTGTGTCCCATAGGAGACTAAAATCCACTCTTACCAAGAGTCATCTCTCAAGAACAGTAAAATAGAGGGATTATTCCTCTTATCTTCAAAATCAAATTTAAAAAAAAATCCATTTTAAACTTGCAACAGCAAAACATCTTCATGTTCCCCTTCAGGTTAAGGACACCAATATGAGCTCTTGTAATCTCTAGCCTTTTATGCACAGGGATGCTGTGTCACCACTTTCATGAGCGAAAAATGTATTTTGAAAAAAATACTTCAAAAGATGCACCCTCATCTTATCTGAGTCAGTTATAGCTTTCCATTCCAAACCATTAAATACCAACTTTCTGTATGCACCAAAACCAAATTATTTCTAAAACTTTTTTTTTCTTGTTAGTGCACTTTATACTTGTAAATGTTTTGTAACTTCTTTCTTACCATAACACATATGAAAACAGACATAAAAGAGGAAATACCCACAGCATTAAACTCTCTATTATTCAGGACAAATAGAGAATTGTTATTTTTGTTTTGGTAAGCTGCAGGGGCAACGAAATTATTCATTTAGCTTTTATGCTAATATGCACCAAAGAAGTGTATATATGGGTCCTACTCCTGTAAATTCTGAATATTGTCCATTGCAAAGTAAAAATTTCATTGCATTATAATTTTATTTTTTTTAAATTATTTTAATTTCCAGTTTTATTAAAAGTCCTGTTTTAAATTTAAATCCTTATATACTTTTCAGTGCCTTGTTCATACTTCCCCTCACACAATGCTCAAGGTGGTAGAAAGTAACTGATACGTGCTGTGGGCAGTAGATCTGGTTTCAGAGGAAGTGTCAATAACAGGCAGGTGGCAAGTTTTGTACAAAGACCTTGCTTGACTTGAATTTCAGTGTAGTTTGAACTTGTGACAAGGTTTTTATCTCTCACGGTTAAAGATTGTTCTGCTTTGGAGAGTGCAGCTGACGTGCAAGGCTGAAGAAAGCTGCTGTTTGACATTGAAAGTGAGGCATTAAGAAGCCAGCAGTCATCTGTTGGGAAATTATGACACAAACTTTTTTTTTTGCTTGAACCAAGACTTTAAAAGTTTGTTACATCTTTTGAAGGTAGTTTAAAAGACTTGTGAGGTCCATTTGGTCTTGGGTGTTTAATGAATATATGTGCACGTTTTTCATTATTCTGTCTTGTGTTTAGCAGGTTTTCATAAGTTGTTGAAGGATTATCTGCTTTTAGTTCAGTTCCAATGAATATATGAGATAACTTTTTCCAGGATATTAGTGAGAGAGTTGTCAGCCATGCCAATCACAAGTGCAATAGGTAATTGTGCTATATATTCAGGTTTCCTGACTAAAATACTATCTTACTGCTTATAATTTCTATAAACTGTGGTTTGTATCTGTTTTTGTCATTCGTCACTGACAGGAAGACAAACTAATATTTTGTTCAGAAGCAAATAGCATAATTTTCTGTGTAACTGCTGGCCTCCCCAACAGCAAACTCTTAAAGATTTTTAACTTTAGTTTCAGATGACAGTGATCTGCACACAAGTGGTACCCTAAAAGCATCTGAAAAATCAACAATGGAGCAATTAGTAGAAAGAGCCTGTTTCAGAGACTATCAACGTTTGGGACTAGGGACCATCAATAGTAACTCTTCTCGCTCAAAAACAGAATACTTAAGAATAACTGCACTGAACAGGATGTATTCACTTTGCAGGAGGTGAGTTTACCAATTCAGCCAAGTAGTTGAAAATTAAGATGTTGTAACACGCGTACGATATGATGCATCCATTTAAGCAACTTATTCTGATAAAATTTTTGTTTACAGTAGGAGTGTTCAACCAGTGACCTTGAAGTTATTTGCATTCCACTCAGAGATTAGTCTTCTGGTGGCTGCACGTCCAGCAATAGAAGCCAGAAGTGAGCATTCAGTGAGCCCCAGAAGCTCTGCCAGGCAACACAAGTCTTCCTTCCTAGGTTCTTTCTATAGCCCTTGGAAAAAGAGTGCCCCTCTTTCTGGCTTTTGGAGGAAAGTAACCTAGATACTCTGAAATGCCTTTTGAAGGAGTTTCACTCCTGTGGCTTTCTACGCTGATGTCTGGATCATTTGGCTGTTTTTCAGCTTTCTGACAGTCTATAAAGTTAGCTGTTAGAACTTACCCTCTGTTAGAACTTACTCTCTCGGTATGGTTTCTGTAATTTGCTATGTTGGTACTGGAAATTGTGTGTGTAATATATTTGCATATAAAATTTATGTTCCTAAATAAAAAAAGCAAGCCTCAGAAACAATCGTACATAACTGTTTTCTTCAAATGAAAAAATATGTTTTAAGATTGGATTCATTAAGGTATCTACCCTACTTTAAAAGTTTGTCATAATGCTGGTGCTCTGTTTTAACACGTGAATGTTACTAGCTCCTTTTTTACTGCGGAAGCTGATGTAGTTTACTACCACTACCCACAAAAATTCTTTTTAATACAAAGTCATACCTGCATGAATCATTTCAAAAGAGGATTTGCATTCTCTGAAGCCAGTTTTGGCTAGTCATTGCTTTCATTATGGATAATGAATTGCCAGTTCTTCGTGGAAGAAGGGCACACAGGAAAATATTAGATTCTTTGTTTTCTGACTTAGCTAGAGAACAGGCTAATAACGGGGTTTGTTCAGTCACCATTGAGTACAGTGCAGAGGAAGGCATTGAATCTGTACATTTTTGTTATGCTTTAGACATTATGCAGACAACTATTTTCTTCTCCTGAAACCACCAGTTTTTAATATTCTGTATGATTCTTTTTAAAGATAATTGATATCTGTGTGGATTACAAATTTTAGGATATAAATACTTATCTAGTGCCCTATTAGTTACTGTGTTTTAAGAAGTACACCGTAAAAATTATGTGCATTGATTTTTGTATGAGGACAGTTCAATAAGTGTCAAAGAACTGAATTTGCAGGGAGAGTGCATGTTGTAGAGGAACAAAGTTGTTTAGTAAGCACTAACTTTTCCCTTAGTTTCCCTGCTAAGTTTCTTCTTAATGTATGAAATTAAATTGAATATTTTTAGAGGAGATAGGAAATAATATTTCATTTTGCTTGAATCTTTCTTTTCACATTATCACATCTACCATCTTTCTGCATTTTCTATTTGTAAAGCTATTCTATCAGAGAATTTCATAGTCTCTCAATGTACTGTAGTGTTTTAGAATGCACTTTCAAATACAATGTTCCAAGGAATCTGACTGTAAAATTTAAATTACATAAACCAAAACCTATTCTCTTAGTTGTGATACTTTAGACAATCTAACATTCTTTCTTTTCAATTCTCATATTTCATATACAAGTGTCAAAACAAAACTACTGCATCATTTGCATGCCTCAAAATTCTCTTTTCTGTCATGCTCAGAAATATGGCTTCATTACAATGAGAGCTATGAAATATACTAAGAAGAAAAATATTACCAAATAAAATGTAACCTCAAATGAAAGAGACTTTCCATTTAAGATAGTCTTACAAATTTTTAACTAAAGTTGTTTTAAAATTGCAGTTTTCTTTACAAGTTGATGTATTTTCTAGGATTGGACTGAAAATGGGAGTTACTAGATTAAAAAATAATTCTAAAAGTTGAGGTGTATTTTCCTTAAGATGTGTATTCAGCTTGTAGTTTTAGGAATTTTTTTTCAATGTTTAAAATTTTGAAAGCCACTTTAATTGCCGTTCTACTTTTTCACCTTTTTGTCAATACAGTTATCCTGGGCTTCTGGTAGTACCTCAGTCAGTTCAAGACAGCAGTCTGCAGAGAGTTGCTCGCTGTTACCGTCACAATCGCCTACCAGTTGTCTGTTGGAAGAACACTAAAAACAATACTCTCCTACTTAGAGCCGGGGGCTTTCATGGCAAAGGTGTTGTTGGCCTCTTCAAATCACAAAACACACATACTACAGGTGGGTTGATGCAGCTGGGCTTTCTGTATAAGTTATTTTATATAGAAAATATATTTTTCTAGAGGAAATCAATCACAGAATCACAGAATCTTAGGAGTTGGAAGGGACCTCGAAAGATCATCCAGCCCAACCCCCCTGCCAGAGCAGGAAATGATATGATTGAATCAAAAGTCTCAGGATATGAATGGTTACCTGGTTTTATGTTAGTTCCATTTAATTACTGTATGTCAAGAAGCAGATCCTGAACAGTATCAAAGTGATTTTAACAACATCAGGGAATAATTTGAAAGGAGATTATATACATACAAGAAGCTGTCAGTAAAAGCTGGCACCTGTGCCAAATGCGGTGCAAAATTCCCTGTTTCACTTAAATCATCATTTTCCTTTGCACTGGTTTATGTAACGCGTGTATGTTGTTCCTTTTAACAGAAGAGTATATAAAATATTAGGGAGATCATTATCCATTGGATTTTCTTATGTTTTTCGTTGTAATACTAGTTTAACTTTTATCTTTCTTTTATAAAGCATAGACCTGAAAGGTTCCAGTTGGGATCTTTGCATTAAGTAAATCCCTTTCTTTGTGTGATGAAGATTGGACCAGCACCAGATTTGTCAGAAAAGGTTATTTTTCAGAAGGATATAACACATTAGGGTAATATTAATTCTGGAAAGAACGTTACTTTACTTTCACCATTCACCAGTAGTATTTAGGGATACGTATTGTGACTGCCTAGATTCTCATTTCTTATGCTGACAGTTTTGTCAGAGATAATTTCATGCCAAGAGTGAATTTGGTATACTGCTGAAGAAAACGTCAGTATTCTCTTAAATCAAACTGATAATTGTTTAGAAATCATTCTAGAATTAGCCATAATTCTTCTTTTTTTGAGAAAAAGAAAATGTGAAGTAGAATTGGAATACCAGGAACTCATCAAGGCAGCAACTTCTTCAGTCCTGTTTATGTTTGTGTTTCACCCAAATAATGACTAAAACACAATTAAAGGGTTTGACTCTACTGAATAGTTTGTTCTGTAGAATTTTTAAAAACCTGGCATACTGTGCAAATATGTGCAGTTCTCACAGAAATAGTTTGAAGAATTACATGTTTTAAATATTTTCTTCCTAGTCCTGACTTTTTCCTTCACAGTATATCTCTATGAAAACCACAGCTTTATTACTTGTAAAGAACAGTTTATATCAGACATTGCTGGGTGCTGCTCTGCAGCCAGTTGATGAACATCCGAGTGTTCTTCATCATCAAGGCCTTTGAACCTTTGATAAACAAACCGTGACATTTTCAATGCCCTGCTTTGCATAGTAAGCTTTTTATTTTGCTATTCTATGTATTTATAAATGTATTTTAATGTATTCCATTCTTCCTGTGACTCCAGCTCCTGCTTCTTTAGAATCTTCAAGCAGTATAGAACAGGAGAAATACCTACAGGCCTTACTGAATGTGATATCCGTCCACTGTAAAATGAATGCCAGTAATACTCTCACTGTTAGACCGATTGCTCTGTCACCAGGTAAAATGGTTTTATATAGTGCCTTTCTGTGGTTAGGTTGAAAAGTGAGTTTTCTCTGATTTGATGTTAGTTCAATTTATCCCGTACAAATTCTGCAGTTTCTTTGTTGATATGCTTTCCAAATAGCTTATTCACCCTTAGTTTCAATGAATGTGGGTTTTGTATGTAAAGGATGTTCATAATCTTTCTCAGAATATTTTTCTGTATTCTAAATTTGACCGTAAACAATTATCTACCTGTGGGTCATAGGTTTTTATGAAATTCCCTTGAGTTTGATGGGCCAATCTTGAGGGATTAGTAATTTATTACAATTCTGGAACAAATAAAATCAAGTTCTCCAGAATGTCAAGATGCCAAAACTTTACCGTTTAGGGTTTTTTATGTATCAAATGCAACAATTATGTCATATAACAGAATCAAAAGCAAAGGTCCACTTTTTATAGTCTTTTATAACAAATTAAGCGTATTGAAAACTGTCGAATAAGAGACTGCCAAATTGAAGAGAGTGTGAAATACTACTCTGTTTCATTTAATGAGAAAATATGAGTTTGCAAGCTCAGATTCTATGTGGAAAGATGCACTGTTTAGCTACAGTAGTATCCAGGAAGGTACACAGGCATTTTCATCTGTGTTACATACACACAATGGCTTTTCATGTCAGTTCCAAGCAGAGCTTTACTTGCAGTGAAAACTCTGTCAAAATACACTATTTGAGTTATGTGGAACCATGAAGAAATGAATCCATGTTTTATTTCAGTTATTTTGTGATGAAATCTGGTAAGGTTTATGTGAAGGTAACCCCAATGTCTTAGAAAGAGAAGTATGTTACCTGAAATTGTGTCTGTCTTGTCTTATTCAGTTGGTGCTAATTGGCCTAATATAGCCAAACAGCGGCTTTTCTTGTAAAATAACCCCATTCCCAAAATGTGCATGCTTTGCTTCATTTATCATAAAATATGTTGACTGCTTAGCTATCTCTAACATCTCCATACCGTTGCCAATGTATTGATGTGCCTTAAAAACTAAATCTGAACTACCAAATTGGCAAGAATTAGCTGTATTGTGTGAAAAAGGGCATTTTTATCAGTTATGTTAAGTGTTAGTCTGAGTAACACTGTAGTTTTTTAATCTTCTATTCTTTTTTTGGCTGACTTTAGGCACTGAAAGGAGGGCTTCAAGAATGTCTACTGTGTTTAAGCAGGTAGTGCCAGGACATTTGGATGTAAATCTATCCAATAGCTTTTCTCGAGGAGGTTAGTAAGACTAGTTCAAAGTCTATGATTTGAAATAATAAATGATTGGAAATGTTAGTGAAATAAAAATAATTACACTGCTTACGGATTCATTATGCTGTGAAACAACAAAACAGAAATTACAGATCATTACTTACCATTGAAACAAACCTTGTTTCATGTTGGAAATTAGTGGAAAATTAAGCATTCCATTAGGAACTCTGTTTCTAAATACTTTGTGTTTCAACCATATTTTTAATTTGTCTAAAATGTATGCCCTGAAAATGCATCTTTTATGTTAGAATTGACTGCACTTCAGAATCTTCAATTACAGATCATTTGGGCATTTGGCTGAAGATTACCTGATGCTTCATAAAGTTAAAAATAATCTATCTGAATAATTTTAGTCTAAGTAAAGGTGGGAGTTACGTGTGCAGGCTGTAGTAAGTAGGGAGATACAGTGCATACTTTGGGAATAGTTGTTCTTAGGTACAAGGGCTCATCAGTGTAATTTCTACAAGAAACTTTCATTCTGTGAAATGGATTTCAACTACTTTTATTCATCTACTTTGATGAAATTCTAATGATTTTTTATGTGCCTTACATGCTTAAATTAGTGCATCAAATCCTTAAATATATGCTTGTTAGGATAAGGGTAAATCTGTTTTCCAAAAGGGAGCATTTTATTTTTCTTTTATTACCTTTTAGCCCTGAAGGCTGCTCTTGCAATTATTTCAAAGCATCTAAAAGTTGCTTTTCTTCCTTTTTGACTCCTTCCAGCTTTGTGAGCAGTGCATTAACCATCTTACAGCAAATGCAGCTCAGATTTTCAGAGGTGAGAGTGAGAAAGGCCATGAGATTCCTCTTCTAAAATTAGTTAGACCTACTTCGACCTGCTGAGGTCCATTCCAACCTAAATTATTGTGTGATAGAAAAACTGTCGCTTCATATAGGGAACAATTAAAGAATTTTCAGAGAAGAACTTTTCAATAGAGATGGACAGGATTAGAGGCATGAAGGAGGGAAGAAAGCAGGAGGGAGGGAGAAAGGAAAGAAGAAAGGAAAATACTCTGAGCTGTATAGAGAAGTTCTGTGAGACTTGTAGCAGAAGGGAAAAGAGGAAACACAGTTAAATGGTGATCAACAAAGAATGGAAAATTCTGTGCATTTTCATTAATCATAGTATATGCATATTTCATATCTGAAAATCCTGTTTATAATCTCTACTCATTATCTTGTTCTTGTACTACATGGAGACGAAGAAAACAGTGACTTTAATTGGATGGGTAAAGTGGCTAGGGACCTAAGAGAAAAGGAATTAATAGTGTCTGGAATTGTTACAGAAACTGGGGACTGTGCCCAGCTTCACTTTGTACTGAAATAGTGAAGCTGCAGGGCAGCTGATAGCAGACCTTGGGTTGTATTCTGTCCTCTTGTGTTGGGACAAAAGCGCCAACAGTGAAGTGGTGCTGAGGGGCAGTGAAGGTGCTCCAGATAAGTAAGGGTAAGCTTGCTGATTGGCTGTATGGAGGTTGTCTTTTGAAGAGATAAGGATTGCTGAAATAACTACTGCTGGTTTCTGGGGTTAGAGTTTGCAGTAAGTGTGATAAGTGAGTTTGTTGCTACTCAGTGAAGAAAAAAAAGGAGTCTCAAGGTGATATTAGGTCACAGATGTGGTGTTCTGTGGGATGTTGAAGTCTCTTGGCTAAATTTCAGCAGTAATCAGGAAGAGGGCAGAGAAGTTCTCTTGTGTCTTGCTGGATTGATGCCACACCTGCTCTATATATCTGAAAGGTGTAATTACAGCCCAGTGTCTGCAGTCTGTTTAGCAGGATACATGAGGACTTTGCTGAAGCATAAGAATGTTTGACAAGTACAATGGGAGCCCTAGTGAAGGTGAGAAGTTGACAGAGTAAGAGAGAGCAGGGAGAAGGAATATCTCCCTCTTGAGAAGTAAACACTAGGGGTTTTAGATTAGCTGACAGAACACTTTTAGAAGAAACTCTAAAATACATGAAGTATATACAATCTCCAAAACTGTTGTTCTCAAACAGATTGATTCACGTGGCTTATTATTGCAAGTTTTTATTGCTTTTTCACAGCTAGTTATGTTTCATATGTAAACTAGTGTCACAAGACCGTATGCAGGACCAAAAATACAGGGTTTTGGTCAACTTTAAAAAACAGACTTACTTTATGCAGGCAGTCTAAAAATGGTAATTTCTCTCTCCTTCTTATTCCTAAGAATAACTCAAAAAGAAAAAAGAAAAAAAAAAGAAAAAGGAAAAAAAAGACAATGGGGTTAGCCATTAGTAAGTGAGTTTATCATAACGAAGTTTATCATAACAAGCAGCTATGGATTATGTGCTACACTGCACGAAAATACAATAGCAGTATTTTTGTGGTTTTTATTCTGGATCCCTCTTTCTTTCCTTGTTTTTATCCTCACACATACCAGGGCACAAAAGCCAGGTTCAGCTATGATACACCGATTGAAAAAGACAATTTCTGGGGTTTGTGCCAATGTATTTTTAGTACACATACTTTTAAAATTTAAGTTAAAAGATGTGTGCCAGTGCTTCTCATTTTTAAAAGTCATTGTTGGTCTGAATACCCATCAATTGTCCTGAATATTTGTGTCCATGTCAGATACGGTTTTTTACTTTATCTGGAACACTGTAACAAAGTAGTTGCCTAAAGCCCACTTAAATTGTTTCTGATCTGAAATACTTAGACAAATACTTAAATATCATAATGTATTTTCATTCTTAGACTTTTTTTTTGGCAATACCTTGGTTAATATCTTTCATAAGAATTGCAAGTTCATGCAAAATACTTCTTATATCACTTTATAAGTATAGTGTGGTTCAAGAGAACAGCACTTTTTACCTGGCTTTGTTTTGTAATTTAGAAAAGTAAATTGTTTTCTCAGTATGATTTGCTGCTGTTGGAAAAATACTAGGATATTTATAATTAATAAATGCAGGCTCAGCTCAGACATTTATTTTAAAAGCAGGAGACATTAATACTTTTAATATATTTTAACAGAATATTTGTATTAAAAGAAGTTGCTTGTGTTGATGTGGCTTTGGAGCCAAAAACACACCCTCTGATAAGCATACAAGACTCTCACTGAAAACAAGAATGTTTGCAAGGGGGGAGGAAATCTCTTTGTGTGATAGATATTCCATGTTTTCAAAATTATATACGTTTACACAGTCCTTTAAAAATGTTTGTAGGTGTGTAGAACTAACATCTTGCACTCTGATTTGATTTTGAGGTCCATCAAATTATGTACCTAAAATAGACTAAAACCATTTTTTTAGAAAAGCGCTAATGGTTGGGATTTTTAATTTTGCTGGATAGAAGATTTCAGTGAAGTGTTCAGCAGAATGATGTAATTGTTACATTTTTTTGGTATTGTAATTATGGAAAAACAAATTATGGCTGTGCTACATGTTTAAAACTATCGCAATGACAATGAAAATTACTACTTTTTGATAAATGGATCCTTCCTTCCCATTTTATATTGGTTTTCTGGCTTGGTTGATGTTTTGTCTTGTGCTTACTAAGATTTGTGCTGTCTGATAAATCATGTACTATAAAGAAATTCAATATATACTAGATCGTTGGAAATTAATAAGTAACCCTTTTCTTTTCTCCTGCAATGTGTCTCGCTGCAATGTGCATTCCATTCCTCCTCCTTCTGTCTTAACTGTTATCTACCAGTGCTTGGGTACAGAGATAAATGTTTCACTCATTCAAATTCCAAATCAGCAACTAAGGGAAGAGCCCATCAAGGTACTGTATTCTGTGTCCTGAAAGCACATTCTTTTCTACCATCTCCATAACTACTACAAAATCTTAATACATGCTAAAGTGATCCTGACAGAAAGCCTTGATTCTGCATTAACAAAATTTGGGGGGTTTTTAGTTCAGTGTTGTGGTTTTGCTTTGTTTTGGGGATTTTTGGCCATTGAATGTACGATGCAGTGACAGTGGTTAGCCACACATTTGACCATGTTATTCATTAATAATGTCATGATTTAGTCTGGAGTGATATGTAGAAAATTTTCTGTGTGAAAATTAATCCTATAAAAGTCCATTTAGTACTTCTACTGCTTTAGTGAAATAGCTAAGAAATACTGTTACCTAGTCAATCAACTTACTTTCCAAAATTATTGTTAATGTTAGTGATGAGGGAAAAATTGATTTCTGACAAATTGGAAAGTCATAATGATACCATATTTGCAAAATAATGAAAGCTAGATACAGCTAACAAAAATTAAGGCAAAAAGTACTAGGCAAATTCAAAGAAAAATATAATAGAAATAGAATTGTGTCTTTTAATCACTGGTATCCATCACTGGTATAGATGTTCATCTGCATGTATTTGTAACCAGTTTCATTGCTTTTGATGTTCTACAGGTGCTAGTGATGGCCTGCATTTGTAAGATGTTAAAGGGTGTAACTGTATTTTCATATATATCATCTCTGGGGACAGCTGTCTTGTGTTGGAGCTAGCGTTTTTTCATACCAAATGAACAAGAAATTATTCCTCTTATTAAACGCTTGTGATTTCAACTTGCTAAAGTCTTTATTATTTCATCTGTAGTAGTTCAGATGTGGAACAAAAGTCTGTACTAAACATACTGCTTTACTAAGTGAGGTATTTTATAAAACTGTCTGTAAAGTGGAAACTGTATAGAACTGTTCCAGTTCAGAAGCTGTCAGCCAACCATTCTCAGTTACTGCTGTTCATTTGCTCACATCTAAGACTAGCAGCCAGACAGGCAGGCAAGCTAAACTGTGCAGACAAGTTGCTGCTGAGGATTACTCTGCAAAATTATTTAATAGAAGTATAATCCTGCTTCTGAAAAATAGAAGAAAATTATTTTGCTAGTTGAGCTATCGTAGTGGAATTTTGCAGTTATCTGCAGCTATTTTCTTCTATGCAAAAAATGTTATCTGTGCATATGATTGGATTTTACTGAAGGGGTTGGAGGACTTTTTTGGTACCGTATATCTAAATTTCTACTACTATGAGTTATTTCTGGTGCCTCTTTTGGATATCTTGGTTCACAGATTTATGGACAAGAGTCTCTTCTGATAATCTGATTTACTGCATATTGGGTTAAAGAATTTCACGCTGCCATTTGAACATCAAATTTAGTATACTTTAAGGGATTTGATTTTGGAGTGGTGCTATTTATATTCTGAAAATCGAGTACCTTTCACATACCTCACATTGGACACACAAAAACGGTCTCACAAAATCAGTGTTATTAACTAAGGTGCAAGAAACAAAAATATTTGCTAGCCTTTTCTTCTGCTGGTGCTAATAGGCCTTAGCAATCTGGTTTATTACTACTTTATCTTATGTTGAAATTGCGAAACTTACCTCAGCGCAGTCGGATCAGAGCATGTCTGATTTGCTCATGTATCCTGTAGGAATATTCTCTGGAAATGACAATACAGCTGCATCAGCAAGGCACAGTATGAAAACTCAAAACGCTGTTGAGAGGCAGAGGTTAGTAGGTTGGTACAATGCCATCCTTATTGCTGTGCTGCTTTCAGATGCAAGTGCTTGGTTCCCCATCACACTGCACTGTTTCAGGCTCAAGTTGTTGCTAGCTTAGGGATTTCTGCACCATGCCCTGGTGCCAGAGTAATGCTGCTCTTACTGCCAGATTAAAACTGTAAGACTCTGATCTTCTAGGCATCCTCTCTACTCACACAACTGTACCATAGTCACATCTGCTAGAACAGAGTCATGAAACACATGATTAAAAAAAGAACTTCCTTCAATTAATTTTCATTTCTAATCGTCTATTAGACATCAACAATTGAAAACTAAAATTCATGGCATTTTGCATTTCAGTCATGGCATTTCAAGAGTAAATATGGAATACTTTCTCCTGAAATGTAACATTTGAATTGATCATCCTTATATACATATTCATTATGATACGTTATGGTTGATAGTGTTACATTGTGTAGGATGAAAGGAACACAAGAATTCTAGGTAGTGGAATTTTAAGTTATACTATTTCTGATTTTGAAGAAAATAATTATATATAATATTCTTACTAGTTAGACTTCCAAAATAATACACCTTTGACAAGGAAATACCTAAAATTTTTGTACCTGCTGCTGAGAAGAACAACACTAGCAATTTAACTTCCATATACTTAAATGGACATTAATTACTTGCAGGTTGTGATTCATTTTATCATTGTATTACTGATATCATGGCAGCTTCAGTATTGCTGTGCAGAGTTTGGTTAGTGTTTTAGGTTAAATGACAATGCAGTAGGATGCTTCTGATCGTTTTTGTTATAAAAGTATTTCTTTCCAGTACGTGCTGTTAATTATGTCCTATGAGGGATGCAAATGACTTGTTTAAGCACTCAACTTTCCAAATGATGTTTTAGAATATGTCCTAATAATTATGATCTCCAGTGCCTCACACAAAGAGGTTTTTAAATATTTTTCATCTTTCTTAAGGTGTATGGGCAAGTCTTCGTTCAAGCAACCGATTTATCAACACTCAGACTCCATTCATTGATGTTGGTGCAAGACTTGCAGGGAAGGATAATGCCACTTCCTACAGCAGCGGTGGTTTTCTGCAAAGTCAGCTTTTGAGGCGGCAAGCAGCCCTCTATATATTTGGTGAAAAATCTCAGTTACGGGTAATGGACTTTTTTTTTTTTAATGTAAACATAGTTTTTATTTGGCTTGGGTTTAATAACACCTGGGAATGTGTCCCTGCCCATGGCAGGAGGCTTGGAACCAGGTGATCTGTAAGGTCCCTGCCAACCCAAACCATTCTGTGATTCTATGAACTAGGTACTTTAGACTACGTGTGCAGTGGGAAGTAAAGAAAAACTGTCTCGGTGTGCAGTGACTGCTTAGATGAATCAGCTAGTTTGTGATTTTAGGGGTTCTTTTTGGATTTGGGGTTTACTTTTTTTCTGCTTTACTGAGCTACTGGAATCAGTCCTGCACTGATGGTATGTCATCCATCCATACAGTTGTTTTAGTTGCTCTAAAAATCCTAAAGGAAGTACATTATTTTGTGTATGAAGAACTCAACAGATCTATCACTCAACTTAAGTTTTTTTTACTACTACAATTATTATTATTACAAATATGACTGCTGTGCAGTATGCTCTGCTGTTATAAGTAGTAGGTGGGTACTTATGGTACATTTTGCAAGTGGTGTAAGGATTTTTATTATTCTGGACAGATGTTGAGCTGAAAAAATTTTTAAATAGGCATTGAAATATGTAGCAATAAAGCAGGTAAGACTTCAAGATTTGCTGAGACTGTCAGCGAAAAACATGCTTCACTTTTAAATTACATCTGCTGTTGTCCTTTTCACACAGGGATTCAAACTTGATTTTGCTTTGAATTGTGAATTTGTTCCTGTTGAATTCACTGACATCCGACAGACAAAGGCTAGCTTTAAAAAGCTGATGAGAGCTTGCGTTCCCAGCACTATTCCTACAGATTCTGAGGCAACATTCCTTAAAGCACTTGGGGAGTCAGAGTGGTTCCCACAGGTAATTTATATGACAGGTACTTCTAACAATCTATGTGCAGTACTGCTTACACAAAATAAACTTCAGGCTCCTCTAACAGAGGACTATTGTGTTCTAACCAGCTGTTCTTCTTTGTTCATCCTAATTATTTTGCATGCTGTCAATTCTGTCATTACATAAACATTATTATTTTAATGCAATCAAAACATTTACAAATATGAGAGGTGTTTTTTATAACATAATTTATGGTTTATAACATGGAACACGTAAACAAGTAGAGATGACCATTTTTTCTGCTTATACAAATTTATATTCTTGGTTTTAACTGCTTTTTCTTATTTTACATATTTTATAATTCAGAAAAAGGTACAGAACTATGAATGAGCCTTTTGATTTTAAAGCCAATACTCTACTCTTCATATATGTTCCCACCCTGAATTTCCATATGCATGAGTATTTAACAAATAAGCTTGCATTTGTTATCTGTTGTGAGATATGGAGATGAGTTTGTGGGGGAGAGGGGATTGTGTGTGTGTGTTAATCTGTGCTCTCTGAATCTTTTCCTTTACTTCCCTATCCCATATTCCCTTACATCAAGATTAACCAAACAAAGGCAAGACTGAAAGTAACTTTGCAAGAATCAAGTTAAGAAGGATGTGGGAAAGTCAGCTCTTTGTTAATCTAAAAACATTTTAAATATATGATTTTTTTACCAGTTTTGTGTTATGTTTGGAATCCTCAGCTGAATATATTCTTCTCAAATGCAATTAATCATAGGAAACAGAATAGACTCTTATGCTGATTTCTTAAGGAGGAAATACATGTGAGTAACACAGGCATTTCAGTCACTGTGCATCAGAAAACCTACTCCTGTTTGAAATGTGCTACAGGGCAAGGAGTGGCTTAGCTTCTTCCCTTGAGCTGTGTTTGCTCTGGAGAGAGCATTGCTCATTGCTGCGTGTGGCCGCCACGTTCTTCAGAAAGGGGAGAAGTGGGAAGTGGATGGAGACGTGACTTCCTCAACATGCGAACATTTTCAATCACAGAGTAGTTGAACAAGTTGATAAGTGTAGATAGATGAATTGAATGTCACTGATGAAATAAACATGTCCCTACAGCAGCACAGAGATCAAGGGTAGACTACAACATTGCAGTTCCTGTCTTTTGGCATAGTTTAGAGGAAAGTAATGGTGTATCACTCTTTGCTCAGGACTAGATCATAATGTTACACACTAGCTGTGTGACATTCAAACCACATTTCTGTGGTTTAAATCATGTCATATGTGACTTACGGGATAAAGTTAATTTATTACATTTTCTACTATTCCTGTGAAAGACCAGAAATCTGTCATCTTGGAAATGTGTTTTTATTGCATTAAGCTTTCCTCTCCTGGGTAATAGAAGTTACGATTATTGACTTTAACACTGTATAGGCTAAATATTTATCTATAAGGATGTGAATACATAGAAATCTGAAGTGCTGCCCAATCTTCTGAATACAAATTATAAAACCAGTATTTTGCTTTTTTTCATATTGAATCTGTACAGGCAGATTGCATATCAGTTTCTTCATTAAGGATGGCAAAAATCAGTCTTTCTTCTATTCTTTTGCCTAAAAAAGTATAGAACAAGAAACAAACTGCTTGGTGTTAAAAGTGGTGCTGTCTTCAGTCTTTTCCTATTAAAAATTGTGGGCAAATTAGTTTCTTTTATTTTCTGAGCTATGGCTATGTGAATGTTCAGAGGAGTCAAGTGTTTTCCATCACAATTTCCATGGTAATATTCATAGGATTAGGGTTTTTTTAAAGGAAAAAAATCAGACTGCACCAAACAAGGATTGAGTTTCAAGGGTTGAACTGTTGTTTTGTTGATCATTTTCCTCTTCTAATTTAATTTTGTTCTTCCCAAAGTCACTTTCATGTGCCTTCTGTACTTTCTGAACGTACTTACTTTTTTCCTTGCATAAATGACCTTAGATATCCCTTGCCATCTTTCATTTATTTGTTTTCCTATATTGCTTCCTCCCTTTCAAGCTTTCATCTTTCCTGCTGCTGCTGTTGGTCAGAATATATTCAGTGCTCTGCAAAGATCGGTTTCATTCTACTGTAAAACACTGAATTGTTTACATATTGTCTGTTATGTTGTTTACCAAGAATGCTGTCACAGTATGACAAAAAATGGTAGAACCATCATAGAGGTTTTCCTTTTAGTAATAATAATGTGAAGTCTCATAGTAAGAATATTCCTCAAATTCACCTGAATGTTTTATTTTGATACCTATCATGTTTGAAACAATTTCATTCAAGCCAATAACCCTTCCCAGAGAAATCCACTTACTAATTCACTGCTCAAGGAATTTTAGTATCACGGCATAATGAATATTAGAATCCAAATAAATAATGTGTCCTCTTTCCGTATGTTTTAGCCAGTCTGTCCAAAAGCAAAGTATAAGAAACACTGTTAAATCTATCTAAATTATTTCCAGATTATGGAGATGGGTGTTTTTTGTGTTTGTTTTCAGGTCTGTGGTTTGGCGGTATTGTTGTTATCATTGCTATTATTAATTTCCAACTTCCATCAGATTGAGCATTAGAAATACTATGTTGTAAACATCTTACATGGGTTCTCTGTTCAGAGTACTTAGTGACTTTATGGAAACTTAATATTTCACAGGAAATTAGTTTAGCGTTAAGACCAGGATGGAATTTCTTTACAATAAATCTGTCAGCTGTGTTGTTCCCATTCTCCTTTTTATGACAGCTATTTTATTACAGTGCTCACTCGTTTTAATAGCTTAAGTTCCTATCTTCAAATCTTTGCTTAGTTTTATTGTAGTTCAGATGAAAATCCTGAGACTGTTACATTTGGCTTTTCAGTCTGTTGCATCAATGCATTTCTCTGTGCTATAAGTAGACTTCAGAACATGTATTTTAATAAGATTCTATATATTTATAATATCTAGAAATTCATCTTATACTTGAGTACGTTACTTATTTTTAATACTGTGTAGCTTCACAGGATAATGCAGTTGGGTGTGATCATCTCTGAGCTCCTGGAAAATGGTTCTTCTGTCATGGTTTGTTTGGAAGATGGCTGGGATATTACTGTGCAAGTAAGCTGCTATTAAAACCTTATGTTAAGAAAAAAACACGAGGCAATACTTTTTTTTTAATATATGTGACTGACAATTTGGCATAACATTAATAAATTTATGTTGTGGCAGCAGAGAAGAAACTAGAATGCATGAATCCTTGCATTCATTTGCAATTTATACCATTAAGAAGTTCCTTAAAGTGAATTTGTTCCAAAGATCCTGATGGACTTAAAGTTCTAAGGCTTAGACATAAAATCTGCGTTCTTGGACCTGACCATATGTAAGAGTGAAAGTTGAAAGTTGCCACAACAGATAATTTATCTTGGTAAACTTAAAAAACAAGAGGGAAGGAGGGGAATTCTTTCTCGTGCCATTTACTTTCCATAAATGAAATTAGGAGACCACACACAGGGAGAAAACTAAATTTGTGCCAGAGTGACTGTAACACCTGTTGCAAGAACAGACTGCCAGAACAGATAACTTTGTGAAACAAACTATAAAATAGGTGAATGAAGACCCACTGCCTCATTTAACTGATGCATTGTGTCCATGTAGTTGCTTCATAATTCAGAAGATAAACACAGATACCAACAATTGTAGTAAATAAAAACTTCATGTGCAGCCAGCACCCTGATACCAGGTAAACAAACCCACAAAAGAATGTTAACGTAATTATTGGAATCATTGTCAAACAATGAACAGTGAGAAGGGGACATACATAGCTGGAAATGAAGGAAGTATGTGTTGCATTTTTAAGTCTCCTGAGATGCTGTCTAGGAAAACAGGCTGAAGTTGGGTGGTGAGCCCTATAGCATGGCAACACTGCAGAAACTCTAAAATCACCCTCAAGACCAGTTCTTTAACACTTTCTTTGCTGAGGTAGCTGGTACTATTTTATAAATATTTATTATCCTTATTTTATTAGCAAAGGTGGTTTCATTTCAAATGTAATTTAAATGTGGTAAGCATTATAATTAATTCCGAAGTCTGTAATTACTCAGGTTTGACTTTTACAGATATTGTAAAGTCCCAATTTAATTAAAGATTTTTCATGTGAGGTATTACTGTAGTTTGTTTTATAAAAATACTTAATGTATGTGATAAAATACTTGTAATTGAGCTTATATGAAGGCTTTTGATTCCTTGAACCATAAATAGACTATGGAATATTTCTATTCATTGATTAAAGTGTTCTCCTACCTTCTGTCACTTTTAACATAATATATCCTGTCTTGTGATCTAGGTCGTGTCTCTGGTGCAGTTACTCAGTGATCCCTTCTATAGGACGCTTGAAGGCTTCCGAATGCTGGTGGAAAAAGAGTGGCTCTCTTTTGGTCATAAATTCAGTCAACGCAGTAATCTGACTCTCAATTGTCAGGGTAGTGGATTTGCTCCTGTTTTCTTACAGTTCTTAGACTGTGTGCATCAGGTAAGTCAATCTCTGTCTAATTTAAGTTTACAAGAAGTATTCATTAAAAAATGCACAGATGCCACTAATTCAGATGTTATAGATAGTGGTTTGAGAGAAGACTAGTAACCTCCTTCTGTAGGTTTTATTAAAGTGGATGGATTTCACCTCAAGAAGAGCCAGAATGGTTCCCTAGAGGAAACTTGACTCATCCACAAAGTACAGATTAAGAGGGATGGTTGGCATTATGGATCTTTTGAGGCCATTTATGCAGAGATGTCAAACAGAAATTGTTAAAACTAAAGACTGGCTTTTGCAGAAGAAGAAATTTACTGATTATTAATACAGTGACTAGACAGTTTTTAATTCCTTGTGCTTGATGATGAGCTTTGAAGAGGCCTTGTACTCCATCAGTTCTGGAAACAACAAGCTATAAACCAGGGGAACCTGAGATGTTCTTATTTCTATATATATTGCATGATCAGAAGATGAACACCAGCAGTTACGTGGTGTAGGAGGAAGTTAGGTTAAGAATATTACACTCAGTTCTAGTTAATTCTGAAGTCTGCCCTTTTCTTCCTCTCAAACCAGTAAATATAAATGTTTTGCAGAGCCTCCGTATGTGCAAACACAGGATAGGAGCTGGCATAGTTCATCTTGTGCATATGTCTTTCTTTCCCCAGTTTTCTCATTTTTTCTCACTGAAAAAAGCTCAAAAGACTCCTGGGCATTATTAACCTGTGTTAAGATTTATGGGTGCCTGTCTCACAGAAGATGTCTGTTGAAGCACCAGCCTTCTTAATAGGAACAGACATTCATAGTGAATACTTGCATGAGTTCTCTACCCTGAAAGAGCAGTCATCAAGTAGACTTACTTTGCTATCTGAAGCAGATTAAATAACTTGCTAAACAAATGAAAAGAAATCTTTAGATATCTATGGAAGACTGATAATTAATGAGCTTATAAGAAGATGAGTAAAGACTTACTGAAGAACATGTTCCAGAAGAGAGAAATTTTGTTTGTATCCCAATGTTAAACACTGTCAGTCATCATTATTGGTGTCTTGCAAGTTAATAAATCATATATTTGGAATTTGGTTCAATTCCTACAGCATTCCCCATTAGAAAACCTTAGAAGTATTTGTCACAAGTCCTGTTTCATCAATCTATTTCCCAATGGTTGTGGTCCTCAGGTTAATTTTTAATTGAAATGGGGACATTTTTCTAAGGAGAATCATATTGTGTTTTTCATTCAAACAAGTTAATCTGTCCAGTTGTCATACTAACTATTCCTTACAATAGATCAAGGTTATTGCTCTTTTCTGAAGTAGAAAAAGATAAATTCATGGTTGCAATAGCTACAACAGGACAGAATAGCCATGGCTTCCAATACTGAAACCCATGTGCTTGGTGGTTCATTCAGTTCTGTGTGTAAATCAATTCGTCTCATGCTGTATTCTGTCTGCTGTCAGATGTCTTCTCCAGGCTTTAATGAGCTCATCTGTTAGGAGAATGGAATACATCTATATTTGGTTTCAAGCAATAGTCTAATTTTGAAGTGAATACCTCCAGCATCTCCCCTTACCATTTCTTGATGCTGTTTTGGTTCATGCGTACTAGATTTTTCCTGGAATAATTTAACCTAAAAGTTCTGCTTCAGGCATGTACTCAAATCTCACCAACTCTTCAAAGAATCTGATCCAATGTTTCATCACTCAGCTTAAAACCATGGGGGTTATCAATGTACAATGGGTCATCAACTAAATCTAGTCCAAGGTAAAACAACAACTGTGTAGTATAGCTGAAGGGACCTCAGCACCAGCTACTTCAGACTGTTTGTCTTCTCCGTTTGCTCTGAATTCCTTGCTAATGTAGACATAACCTGCATCCTGTTCCTGAGTCTGGAAATACTTTACTCCAGTTTTACTACAATAAATAATAAAAAGTTGGCATAAAGAAAAGCAAGGAAAATTATCCGCACATACATGTACAGTTGCTGGTTGGTTTTTTTTTTTTTCTGGAGTCTGGAGATTACACAAACTTTGGAAACAAATGGGTTATCCAGGGAAAAAGGATAAAAATGAAATTCAATTATTTTGGTTAATTGTCATAGAATAGAATGTATCATATTTTCTTCATGGCAAAATTATTGGTTATGTTTAACACAATCTGCAGTTCTGAGAACATGGAATAATGGATTATAATCATCCTGGCTTTAAAAGTTAGGATTAATATCTACTGTTAACAACTGTAAGGTATGATTTTGCCTCAAGCTGTAAGGTGCCTAAAATATTCCTACTGTACATATGAATGTGTCAAGGAAAGAGAAGAATTCATCTCAGATAGCAGCTTTGATGCATGTCAACAGGTATCTGACTCTTCTCTATCTCTAAAGGGCAGTATAAAGTATACAAGTTAGTAACAGATACATTTTACTGAAAGATCTGTGTTTTCTGGGTTTTGGTCTTAAGCTATGTCCACATGCCCTGGCTGCAGCTGTATCAGCAGAGTCATTACCTCCTGCTGGCTTTCTGGAGCTGTTCATCATTTCTCCTCTGGTGGACATACCACCCTCACAGTCTGGCAGATAAGGGATTCATGTGAACCTGCCTGCCTTTTCCAGTCAAAATGTTAGAAAAAATATAGTTTAAAAGACCATCTTATTTTGATGGGTGTGGATTTA